TGTGAGATGGACGCAAAATCTACTCCGAGTTTTGCAACGTCCACACCTGCGAGCGAACCTTTCCCCTTTCCAAGGGTCTCCACTGCCCTAACCCCAAAAGGGAGCATGAGCGTTTCTGCTCTGTCGATTTGAGCTGCGGCCACCCTGACTGTTCGCAGACGGGCTCCTATTCATCGTCAGCAGAATGGACGCAGTACTTTTGCCCCCGTCACCGCTGCACCATGCGGGGGTGTCTTGCTGGATCGACCAATAAGAAGCAGCAGCAGAGATGCGACCTTCACATCTTGACCTGCAACGTGCCGCGGTGCGAGAGACCATGCTATGAGAACCGAGACGGGACCCTCGACATTGTGTGCGCAGCCCACTACGGCAGCTTCAACTGCGCCTGGGCCGGGTGCGCGCGGAGGAAACCTGGATACGACACCAAGTACTGTCTAGAACACAAGTGCGCGTTCGGGGAATGCTCGCGCGGCAGGGAAAGAGACGCAAAGTGGTGCAAGGAGCACAAATGTGCCATCTCGTCCTGTGATCGAGGGGTCAGGGAGAACGGGGGGGTCATGTGCAAGGATCACGAGTGCAACAGTTCCCGATGCAGACTCCCAAGGATGACCGGGGCTGACTTTTGCACCGATCATGGATGCAAGGGGAAGAACTGCCGCTTTGAAGCGCGGTTTCCGGGAGGCTATTGCGAGGAGAGGCATGCTTGCATCGTGGGCATGTGCTCAAACCCCAGGTCAACCGTCATGAGCTCGACGCTGGGCATCTTCACAGACCGCTGTGTAGAGCATGATCGGCTGAACCGGGTGGGGAGGAGGCTGTCGACAAATGACATGCCCGAGAGAGAGCGGTGGGAGGGGCGCAGACATCGGTATTCTGACGACATCGAGTCGATGAGACGGAGGGAATTGGAAAGGTTACAGAAAGAGCAGAGAGAGCGCGAGGAGAGAGAGACACATGGACCATATGCATACTCGGGCTGGGATCGGCGATGAATAACTTGGAGGGGAATCGGCAACGAATGGTTATATTTTTAGTGTCTGAATGCATTAGAATGGGGCATGAAAGGATGATACCCGGAAATAGTTGATACCTTGGGAGTTGGGATCTGAATATACAGTCTTGTTGCTTTGTAACTGTTGATGCCTTTGCTTTTTGGTCTGTGATGCTGCAGCTTCCAGGTTGTCGGGTATCGATCCCGCCTTTTTGCTCATCCGACGTCATCTCCCCCACAAACCACCTAATCGATAAGGGAGACAGGGGTTTCCTTTCGGGTTGGGCGCCCTTTGTGTCCACGGGTGTCAGCTGCGCCTCGGAAGGGTCCAGGTCCCTGCTTGCGTTGTCAGCGCAGCAACATGCAATATCAGTGACACACCCACAACACCACAACACCACAACACGACAACACCACAACACCGACCTCAACGTCAGTTTCTCTGCGCGAAGCTCCTGCAGCTTCTCGCACCGCTTTATCCTCCTCAAACCGGCACGTTTCCTTCCCAGGCCCGCCATATACATCATTCCGACTCAAATACCGCAGCAATGCCTAGACTAAAGGCAATTGCCCTCCACGGACTGGCGGCCGCCGTAGGCGTGTCCGCCTTTGCTGTGCAGCAAAAACCAATCCTTCATGACCAGCAAGCCCAGGCGCCTATTGGCACCCACGGCGACAAGCCACTCGTCGATTCGGAAGCTCTCCAAGACACCATCAAAGCCGACAACCTTCTCGCCCGCGCCAAACACCTCTACAAGATCGCCAAGCTGTCCGAGGACAAGTTCGGCCGTCCCACGCGTGTTATCGGAAGTCCGGGCCACGAAGGCACCATCAAGTACATACAGAAAGCCCTCAATGCCGTCAGCGACTACTACACATTTGGTCTGCAGCCTTTCTCCGCCGTGTCGGGAACCGTCTTCGAGAGCCGTCTGACCATCGACGACAAGCTGCCTTTCACCGCCTATCCTATGAGCCTGACGCCCCCGACTAAGAATAAGGAACCGGTGGACGGGAACCTGGTGCTCGTCTCGAACGAAGGCTGCAACGAAGAGGACTACCCCGAGGCTGTCTCAGGCAACATCGCTTTCATCAAGCGCGGTGTTTGCCCCTTTGGCACAAAGTCAGAGCTTGCTGGCAAGGCAGGCGCCATCGCTGCTGTGGTCTACAACTACGAAGACGCGCCTGTGGGAGGCACCCTCGGCACCCCGTCCAAAAACCACGTTGCTACCTTTGGCTTGTCTGGCAGGGAGGCCCGTCCCTACGTCGAGAGACTCGAGACGGGTAAGACGATCGCCGCCACCGCTTATATTGACGCCGTCGTGAACCAGATCGTGACCAACAACATCATTGCCCAAACAAAAGGAGGAGATCAAGAAAACTGCGTCATGCTTGGAGGCCACAGTGATTCTGTTGGGGAGGGCCCCGGCATCAATGATGACGGATCAGGAAGCCTGGCTCTGTTGGAGGTTGCTTTGAACCTGGCCAACTTCTCTGTCAACAACTGCGTGCGTTTTGCATGGTGGTCTGCCGAAGAGGAAGGCTTGCTGGGTTCTGATCACTACGTTAGTGTCTTGGCTCCCGAGGAGAACAAGAAGATCCGTCTGTTCATGGACTATGATATGCTGGCCAGCCCCAACTTTGCATACCAAGTCTACGATGCTCGAGACGCGGTCAATCCAGTTGGCTCGCAAGCGCTTCGCGACCTGTACGTCGACTGGTACACCAAGCACGGACTCAACTACACCTTTATCCCCTTCGATGGACGCAGTGATTATGATGGTTTCATCCGGCACGGTATCCCCGCGGGTGGTATTGCTACCGGCGCTGAGGGCATCAAATCCAGGGCCGAGGCCCAGATGTTTGGCGGCGAGTATGGTGTTCCATACGATGTCTGCTATCATGAGCTCTGTGATGATATCCAGAATCTGAACCTCACAGCTTGGGAGATCAACACCAAGGTATGTATTGACCCACAACAACGAAAAGATGACACATGTATTAATGCTCGGCTTTAGTTGGTTGCCCACTCGGTTGCAACATTTGCTACTTCTTTTGATGGCTTCCCCAAGAGAACGCTTGACGAGGAGCAGTTGTTCGCTACCACAAACATGTATCGCGAGCAGACGAAGTATCATGGTGACAAGCTTTTTGTCTGAGCTCATTTCTTTCGCACCCTTTCCTAGGTAGGTAATTAATGCGTAAGAGGAGTTTCTACAGGAGAAGGCATACAATACAATGGCATAATCTTAGTAAATAACATTAAATTTAATAGAGTGAGACTGCATTACTTGTCATATTCACCGCCTGTTTTTGATCCGGCTGCTTTGTGCTAACAGCTATGCGATCCAGAACCTGGATGGTCAGATGGAGACAAAGTTAGGCCGATAGTTGGGACTTGGACATACACTCCTGAGCCTAAATGAGAAGGTATGTAGACGAGTACTGCAGATCATGGAAGAAACCGGTAGACAACACAGATGGGTGTTCTGTGGTGAAACAGTACCAGCGCGCCAGTCAACTGGACCTCCCAAAACAGGGTCTCAGCACCGAAGCGTTGGCCCGGTGGTTCGGCAAGTGTCCACCCCCCAAAAGCTGTCAAATAACAGGAAACGACGCGAATCTTAGGCGTAAGACATCGATATCGGACGGTTCCACCCGAAGTTCCCCCTCACTCCCACCCTCCCTTCGGTAACGGTAACAGGGTACGGTCTCGAAGGAGGGTTTTGCAGACTGTCGCCAAGGCCAAGGCACGATATTCACCATGCAAGTCAACTAAAGAGCGCTGAGGCCATGCCACAAGAGGCGTAGCTGGAATCAATCGACGTTGAACAGGTGCTAAGCAGGTTGGTCATTGGAGCTAGTCATCACGATCAATGGCGATGGGTTATCTCGCCAGGTGCTCTCGTTCAGCAGAGAGATAGGATAAGAGAATGCGGGGAGGGTAGGCGACTTAAGATTGGGGTCATGCAGCACCTGGCGATGGTCCCTGCGCCCTGCATGAGATATCAACACATGCCAGAACCTTTCACCGGCATTAGGACCAATGGAGGACAGCTGTTGCCCAATCGATACGCCACAACCTTTTAAACCCCCCACGCTCCCGTCCCCAAGCTTCAAGACACTGTCGACTCGTGGCACACTCTGGGCTGAAATCGATACCACAAGACGGTCAAGGCATCAGAACCCTCTCAGTCAGCCAGTTCAAGATACTAGCCAGACTTGTTAGGAGTTTTTGAAGGCCTTGCTTCTATTCCATCTTTCCCCGCCGTATGATTCCCCGGTTTTACCTTCTGGTCGGGTTTATGCCCCCAGCTGCATGCCAGTCCAATATCTGCAGGGCACTTGGGTTGCATCTCATCTCTATCGGTGCATGGGAATTGCCAACCTCGCATTGGTCGGACTGCTACAGCAGAGTCAACATCCTCCCGCACCAGCTGCGGGAGCTTCAAGGGAGTAGCCGAGTAGAACATTCCTCTTGGCTTCGAAATCCAGTCCATCCATCCTGAATCCCCCAGAATCCCATGTTTAGCTCTCCAGGTGATTCCTGTGCACTTCCTGGAACCCCACATTCCACCTCTCAATTGCCGGTAAAGCAATAGGTGTGTAACTCTCAGCATTGCAAAATCATATTACACTTGACACATGTTTACATATAACACAAGGGCCAAACTAAGTACCAAACGGTGCCTACCGCACCACGCGACAAACACCTCCCCAGTTCCGTCAGACGGGCATTGTTGTGTCCGACTCTCAAAGATATCAGGTTGCGCCTACATGCCACACTCAAACCACTTGGCAAGCAGCAGATAACAATGACAACCCACTGTAACAAGCCGCAAGAGATATTCTATGCATGTCAAGTCGGCCTCCAAACTGGTCTCATTGATAAGGTCCAAGTACACCCCGCGCCTGTGGTGAACCTTTTGGGCCGCCTTGTCCTGCCAAGAGATGTTTGGCGATTTTCAGATTGACCAGAGATCTACATGTCAATGTCAGGATGATCCGAGTGAGCTCTTTGTACCTGCCCCTTGCAGATGTATCTGGAGTTGACAACCCCCCATCACAGACAAGCTACCACTGCAGCCAAGGATACTTGCAGGTAGGATGGTGGGGATGTGGGAAAGAAAACATCTCACACCAAAGGCCACACCCTCAACCCTCTCTGCGTGAGTGGACGGATAAGCCTCGGTGTGCCTGACGGGGTGAATCGTCAGATACAGGAGGAGCTTTTCAGAGACCATGCAACTTGCCCCTGTGTGGATGATGGCCCTCCTCGCTTTGCCCTGGCAGGCTGGTGATTAAGGGTATATAAGAACAACCCTTTCTCCCTCTCCCCACCCATCAAACCTGCTCTAAAACCCCATCCTCCAGTATTTGTCCTAATCCCACCACCCAACATGCAGATCAAGTCGCTCGCCCTCTTTGCCACCGCCGCCTTGGCCGCTGTCAATGAGCCCTGTGTTGGTTCTGGCGGAAGAGCTGGTATGTTCCGAGTCCTCAGTTGCCACACTGCGAAGGAGTGTAACCCAGCCCCCATACCCCTAAATACTGACATCATGAAGGCGTCTGCGTCACCACGTCGACTTGCTCATCATCTGGCGGCATTACCATTGATGGAGCGTGCCCGTCTGATGCTTCCAATGTCAAGTGCTGCACCAAGGCTTCGTGCCCCAACGGTTCCGCTGGCAACTGTCGTTGGGCATCGGACTGCGCAGGGAGCACACTGACTGGTCTTTGCCCGGGACCTGCGCAGATGAGATGCTGCTCTTCTTCTGCCACCGGCTTCGGAGGGTATTCTGCCCCAGCTATCCCCGCCGTCGGGGCCTGCAAGGCCGTGGCTGTTGAGGGTGCCAAGAAGGTTGTCGCTGCCTTCCCCGGCAGAGTCAGACAGATTTACTGCACCCGGGCTTGCGCCTGTCCCGGTACTTCGGATCACTGCTGCGGCAAGGCGATCGATTACATGTGCTCTGATGCTGGTGGTGTAAGTGCCCCTCTGAGACTTTGGCTTCGATGTTGAGCTTGCACTGACCTGAGACTCCCCGGTAGGTTCCCACCATGTCCGGCCGCCAGCTCGCTGAGTGGGCCATGAACAACCGTGCCAGCTTGAACCTCAAGTATATCATCTGGGGCCAGCGCATCTGGAGTCCTAGTGATGGTGTCAAGGCCTGGACCAGCTGGCGCGCCATGGAGGATCGTGGAGATGTCACCCAAAACCACTGGTAAGCATCAAAGTTCACTAGCCCGGGAGCCAAGTATCAATGGCAAGCAAGGACGAGGATCTAATATAGGATACAGGGACCACGTTCACATCAGCTTCAACTAGGCGGTTTTCGGTCGAGTACAGTCAAATCGCATGACTCTTTGATATCTTTGTACCTAGCTGTCCCCATACAACAACCACCGCCCTCTTAGCATCAAGACCTATGGCGTGCTAATTCAGACTTTATACATGTTCTCGTCACAATCACACTGGCTGTTCGATGCATGCGGTTTGTGAAAAGGAGGTGGGGTCAACATGCAATCATCTAGGACCACCAATAGTCGCGCCACGGCCATGCAGCCGGCGCCTAATCACAAATAAAAAGCTGATTCGTATGCCGTTTCTGAGTGAAGGCTGCGACGCTAACCTCGACGAACACCATCTCCCCATCGATATCGATACCGGACCAGGTCCCAGTAGCATGGGGGCCTATCACGGGATTTGGGAGTTACACAGAGTCTTTCCACTTCCGGTCGGTACTACAGCTGCCAGCGAACAGATGATGTAAATACCCCGCCTCTCTTCCTGAATACCGTTAGGTCCCAAGAAACTAGGCTCGGTCCGCTTTAGTTCTTACAGCACAACGTGTGTTGATCATCACCGCCCCTGTCCAACCTGTCCTTGAACTTGTCAACTTGTCAGGCTGTCGACCTATCGACGTTGTGGATATCCCAGCCCGCCAGTTTGAATAAATCTCACGATCCCCTCTCGAAATCCAGGATGGACCTCACTGATCACCCACAATCATCCAGCAAGCCAACAGGCACTGCCAACAAGATGGCTCTCGACCTCTCTTCGTTTGGGATTCTCCCACCGGGAATCCTGACCCAGCCGACACCTTTCTCACTCAACGTTTCTATGAGAGATATCCATCGCCTCTCGGCCCAAGTCGACCAGGCCAACATCGCTGTGCCTCAGTATTACAATACCCACGCGGACCCTGTCAATGGAACGTACGGAATTTCCCGCTCCTGGCTTCTCGATGCCCAGCAAATCTGGCTCTCCGAATTTGACTGGCGCGCGCACGAGGAACAACAAAACAAGTTCCCCAACTTCCGCATCAACGTCACTCTCCCGTCAGACGGACAGGTTTTCGACCTCCACTTTGCCGCCTTGTTCTCCAAGCGTGAGGATGCCGTCCCCATCACCCTTCTCCATGGCTGGCCAGGGTCCTGGATGGAGTTTCTCCCAGTCATGGAACTTTTGGTGGAGAAGTACACCGCCGACACTCTCCCCTACCACGTTGTTGTCCCGTCGATCCCTGATTACGGCCTCAGTTTCCGCCCCGAGGAGACCAAGGAGCTGACCATGGCAACCGCGGGCGAGGCCATCAACTCTCTCATGGTTCAATTGGGCTTCAATGGATACGTGGCACAGGGAGGAGATGTTGGCAGCTTCCTGTCACAGGTGCTGAGCCATCATGACGAGTGCAAGGCTTACCATTGTTTGTGTCCCCTTTGAGCCCCCCCTGGCGTACCGTACTAATGAGCAAAAAAAGTAAACATGTTTTTCATGACATCCCAACAGCAAGCCTCCGTCGCTCATCTGAATATCTCGGCCGAAGAACAAGCAAAGGTGGACTACGCTGCGGCTTGGGCCACCACCGGTAACGCCTACGCTGTCGAGCATGGAACCCGCCCTTCGACCATTTCCCTGGTGCTTCAGACCAACCCAGTTGCAATGCTAGCCTGGTACGAACATGACCCCCAAAAAATATGCTGATCCGTCCGCCTGCTTTGCTTTTGCTAACACATCTCGACACACAAGGATGGGTGAAAAGTTGATTGAATGGTCCGACAACAGACACTCCCCGTTCCCATCTATCGACACCATTCTCTCGTTTGTCTCGTACTATTGGTTGACCAACTCGTATGCCCGGTCAATGTGGGCGTATTCCGAACTGACCAGCGTTGTTGGCGGTGAGCTTCCGCCATACAACCCTTCGTTGACAAAACCCATGGGCTACTCGTGCTTCCCGGTGGAGATTGCCACGCTTCCTGAATCTTGGGCTAGAGAGCTGTTCCCAAATTTGGTATTTTATGGAGTTCATGAAAAGGTATGTCGCAGCAACAGGCCGCAGTTCGTGTGAGGAGTGCTGACTTGCGACAAATGCAAAACAGGGCGGCCACTTTGCGGCACTGCAAGCCCCCGAGGCATTCTTGAGTGATATTGAGCAGTTTTTGGCGATTGTGAAGGACACTGTGCTAGGATCAGCTTAAGCTGCACATAAGCTTTCAATGACATTGCTCGGAAATAGTGGATGACCATTGGACTTGGACTGGATATATGGTGGGTAGTTACCTACTTCACAAAATAATTGTAGATACACGTATGTAGTTTCATACAGTCTCATGCGTGGATGAGTTAATTGTTGCGGCGGGTTGTTCTGTTGGTTTACCTTCATCCCCAGAGCTCTGACTTGTTAGATATGTGTCTATGGAACAAATGGCTCTTCCATCTAACCATGCAACAGGGCGAGATCTATCTTTGGCCCGCCATGCCCTCCTAACAAGCAGGGTTGTTGTGTGCGATAAAGCCCAACCTCCATGGCAATGCATTGTACTCCCCACCAGCACTTGGATCCATCCCTTGGTACATGAACCGGATATTACATGGATCAATCAGCAGCTTCTCGTCCACCGTCCCGTCCCTGATGATCTCCCCGTGACTGATGCTTTTCGTCCAGACATCCCCATCGAACTGAACATTGTTGCTTCTTGCCCATGGGTTTTGCTCCGTGTTGGCTAGCCCCTGCCATGGTCCCCTGATGGAATCTGCCGTCCAAGACCTGAACCACCGGTGACCGTCGGTTCCAATGGCTTCGACCAGCAGCAAATATTTGCCATCGGGAAGTGAATACACGCACGCTGCCTCAAAAAGGTCGTTGCGATTGTCCTGCATGGCAATTACGGGTTGGCTCATGCCGTTGGGAAATTGTTCAAGGCTGGTTTCAGATCGGTAGAGCTGCCCGTTGTCGTCTGATGAAAATAGATGACAGCTTGCCGAATCACAGATGACCCACATGTCAACCCAGTACCCCTCCCCAATGTTTTGTTCGATAATCTTGGGCATCCCATCTGGATAGAAGACCTTGGGAGCAGTCCAGCCCTTGGGATTGTTGATGTCTGGGTTTGTGGAGTACGCAGCGTTTCCGTTCTGGTAAACGAGATACCAGAGTTTGTGAGGCGCGAACCAAAAGACCTGAGGAGCTGCACGATAACCGGTCCCAAGAGGGGCTTGATCCAGGTAGTAAAAAGTGGCATTAGGCGCATCGGCCCAGTCGGCAAAGGTAAAGTAAACCAAGTTGTAGCCAGCGGACTGAGCGGTAGAAGCAAATACGTGGTGGGTTCCGTTGATCAGGATGATAGTTGGGTCTTTGATTCCGGCGATCCCGCGACCGTCGTTCTTGGGGCCGACAAGAGGTCCAGTGGAGGTCCACTGCCATGTTGTGGGCAGGTCACTGGGAGGTTGGTTTGACAGCTGGACAATGGAGACATCTCGCCCAGCTGGCAGGGAAGAAGGAAGCGCAGTAGCAGAGGCCCATAAACAGGCGAAGAGAGCAGAAGGGCGCATGCTGCTTAGCTGTTGTAGATAGGTACCTATCTAGACACTGGGCTGGCGGCGAAAGAAGCTGACGAATTGAGGGTTTCGTCGACTTCGAAAGCGGACAGTCTTTTAATAAAGAATGTTTGGAAGCCAAAATATAGACGGGGGTCAAGCTTAACATTCGTGGCAAATACTTGGTTCGCTAGCAATACAACTTGAGCTATGATCGCCAAGGCTGAACATTAAATACAATCCCGCCCTTGAGAATCAGCATGCAATATAATATACCCACTCTCACTCTAGTGCTATGCAGCCTCCTCATCTGATTCCGAAGTTCGGGTTTCCTACCTGATATCAACCATGATCGCAAAAGTCGGGCATGAATGTAACCTTGCCAGGTTCAACAGTGCTGGCAAAAGGCAAGGTACCGATCCGGTCAATAAGGGAAGTAGCCGAGAACAACTATACAAATTAATTCCGCCTATAGTTGATGAGAAATCATAGTTAAGGTAGTGGCGCCCCAATCGGTCATTCGATGCTGCAACGGATCTACTTGCTTGATGCCCCAAAAGGCTGGGGTACCTTGAAAGCAATGTAACTCTGATCCCACTCCATCGTTCATTGGTGCGCGTCAATGTTCAAGCCAGGGCTTGTAGGTACTATATTTTCGGCATCACTGCCAATATACCTTCTTCTACCCATTCAACCGAGGGCGAAGAGTGTATGTGTAACTGTTACAATGCGGATGATCATTGGAGAGACCGGGGAATTGCCTTTCCGTCAAGGTATCTCTTCATGTCGTGCAACTGAAGGCTATTTGAAAGAGCCATCTGCTCCTGCAGACCATGGCTATCTATCATGTGTCTCAAACTGCGACCGCTTCCAAGTAAACGAAGTACGATATGAGGCCTTTTTGGAAGCGAAGCGGTATCGTGGCGTCGTTGATCGCCTTTTCGTCCTTTCTATTGCTAGCCGCCCCAGTAACAGCCCAGGCTTCATCGACTACCACCTCGTCGCCCGCAGTCAGCTATGTAAACACACTGGCTAACCAACGAGCCGACCCCCACATTTTCAAACACACGGATGGATGGTACTACTTCACCGCCACAGTTCCTGCCTTTGATAGGATTATCCTCCGTCGTGCTCAGTCCATCCAGGCTCTGGGTGATGCAGCAGAGACTACAGTTTGGAGGAGGAAGTCGTCTGGTGTTGGGAGTGGTCAGGTCTGGGCACCCGAGATACGTATGTTGCGCACTCGTCAAGGATCAGAATATACACTTACCAGTGAGGGTCCCCCTAGACTTCATCGACGGAAAATGGTATATCTACGTCGCTTTGGGCGTAGCAAATGAATGGCGCATTCGAGCTTTTGTTCTTGAAGCGTCTGGTGCTAACCCCCTGACATCAACATGGATCGAAAAGGGGATTATCAAGACCAACTGGTGAGCCATGATGATCTTTGTTGCTTCTCTTTGAAACAGATGAATTGATGAATCGCAGGGACACCTTCTCGCTCGACGCAACAACCTTCACCGTCAACTCCACGCGTTATCTTGTCTGGGCCCAGCAAGACCCGTCCCGGTCCGGCGAGAACTCGTCTCTCTTCATCGCACCGCTGCAGAACCCATGGACTATCCGGGGCACCGCCGTCGCCATCTCTCATCCCGACCTCGCCTGGGAACGGATAGGGTACAAAGTCAATGAGGGAGCGTCCGTCATCCAACGGAATGGCAGAATCTTCATGACCTACTCCGCCTCAGCCACGGATCACAACTATTGCATGGGCCTTTTAAGCGCGTCCGCAACTGCCAATCTCATGAACCCAGCATCGTGGACAAAGAGCAGGACGCCCGTCTTTGTGAGTAACGCCAACACGAACCAATGGGGTCCAGGACACAACAGCTTCACGCTATCAGAGGATGGAAAGAGTGACTTGATGGTATATCATGACAGAGGCTACAAGGATATCAACGGAGACCCGCTCAACGACCCCAATCGGCGGACGAGGGTGCAAAAGGTGTATTGGAAGGCCGACGGAACACCGGACTTTGGCATCCCCGTGCCGGATGGAAATACGCCGGTCAGACTGAGGTCGGCCGTCCCAACTGGACTGTTCCTCAGATTTTACACTGGGAACAGTGTGCCGAGCGGCTCGGTCGCCCTGGAAGATACTCAGTTCCGCATTGTCAATCCCGGGTTGTCGGGTAATGGCACCATCAGCTTGGAGTCAACGAGTAATCCAGGGGTCTACCTTCGCCGGTTGAATGGAAGCCAGGTTCAGTTTGAAGCAGGCCGGAATCTGAACACCGCAGCAAGCAAGGCATCAGCGAGCTTCAACAGGCGCTCTGGACTGGCCAACGGATCCGGGATTTCTCTCGAGGCGTCCGATGCAGGAGGCCAGTATTTACGCTTGCAAGCAGGTGGAGCGTTGGTGGTTTCGGCGGCGAGCAGCACAACAGACCAAGAACAAGCGACCTTCTATCTCGAGTAAAACGTCGCCAATTGCATCCCAGTTATGGTCCATCGGACCGTGACTGTTATCAGACGTTAACCCAAGCAGGAAAACTTTCTCCATCATGTAAGTCGGCCGGCCCCACTTCCCCGCATTCCGGCACCGGCCTCCGCCGGTTGCGGCCGGCTTGGGTGGGACGGAACAGCGGGAGCGGCAAGCGACGGCTCAGAGTGGGCCTTTCGGCGATTGACAGCACTGCTTTGATAGCCCTTGGCACATCTTCATGTATTGTTTCGTCAAACCCCTAGATCTAGGTATTCTATGAACCACGAACGAAGCTCACTACATGGTTGGGATTATTTGTCGAAAAAGTCTGTTCTGAAGACCGGCCATCATGAATGTGTGATGTTTCGAGGGTTGGAGAAAGGATGAGGTTAAGTCATGCTAGATCGACCGAGCGGTGCAGCTTGACCTCGGAAAGCGGGGACGGTACCAAGCTCAATGGATTATCAAGGGTAAACATGTAGCCAACCAAAGATAGGAACATTAAATGGACAGCAGTATGAGGGATCTGTGTTATGTAACAGGATCCTCGAGCAAACAGAAAACCAAAAGAGCGGCTTCATGGTTTGGTCACTTGATAAGACGGATGGACGTCATGGGTGCAAGTGGGTGCCAAAGAAGCTCGGGGCTTAAGCCGAGACACCCCATACCCGCGCCACGCCCTGAGCAACACAAGTGCACCAACCGAAGGGCGTATCGGGCAGAATGGAGACAATAAATAGCCCATCGGCGAGTGCGCTTTCTTTGTCTTTTGACTCCGACCACTGGAACATCAAACCGGATCCTTGTTCAGGGGTTTGGAAACAAAGGTCTTCGAGAAAGCTTCTCGAAGCCACAGTCACCTGGAAAACGACCCCCGAGATCCGGATACCGCGAACTTCCGCCCTGAGACCCGACACATCAAGGACCGGTTTTCCAACCCAGCCGACCCCAAAAGGCGGGAATAGCGGAGGCGGATCAACATTACCACAACCCAGACAACGATCTTCCCCACCTCCGGGGTGACCCACCATCCACTCGAACTGCCGCGATGCCGCCATTGCTCCGTGCAACCCCGCGCCAGAGGGCATTCCAGGCTTTTCCCGCAGCCAGGTCTGGGGTGAGCGTTACTCGTCTGGGGTATTGCAGGTTCGCCTGCTCTTTGCAGAAATCAGTCAATGGCACAACAACTTCCAGGAGGACTTGTACCCCGTCCGTCAGCAGGCAAAGGTCTGCATTGATCTCATCCTCTCTAAGTTGGAACATACAGCAGAAGTGGTCATCGACGGTAGCCAACGATCCCAAAATGTACACGACATCATTTGCGTTCTTCGAGGCGCTATGGGATGCCGGAGTCACCCATGTGTTTGTCAATCTGGGCTCCGACCATCCGAGCATCATCGAGGCCATGGTCAAGGGTGCCCGTGAGAAGAAGGGCCAGTTTCCTCGGATTATCACGTGTCCCAATGAGGTAGGTCTGCGTACAGTGGCACTGGGGGGTGATGTGTGACCTTTCGCTGACACCATAATCAGATGGTGGCCATGTCGATGGCTGATGGTTATGCGCGCCTGACCAACAAGCCGCAGGCCGTCATCGTCCACGTCGACGTGGGCACCCAGGGTCTCGGTGCAGCCGTCCACAATGCCAGCGCTGGTCGTGCTCCCATCCTCGTTTTCGCTGGCATCTCGCCCATCACGCAGGAAGGCGAGCTGCGCGGGTCGCGGACCGAGTTCATCCATTGGATTCAAGATGTGCCAGACCAAAAGCAGATTGTCGCTCAGTACTGTCGGTATTCAGCTGAGTTGAAGACGGGAGTAAACGTGAAGCAAATGGTCAACCGGGCGCTGCAGTTTGCCAAATCGGCGCCGCAGGGTCCCGTGTATCTTTGCGGATCGAGAGAGGTGATGGAACAGGAGATTGAGCCGTACAGCATCCAACAAGACGAATGGGATCCAGTTGAGCTAGGCGGGCTACCTGGGTCGGCCGTGAGCAAGATCGCAGAAGCCTTGGCCGGTGCAGAAAGGCCGCTATTGATTACTGGATATGCCGGAAGAAACCCAGAGATGCCGGCAAAGTTGGTGGAGCTGGCAAACACTGTCAAAGGCCTTCGAGTGCTGGACACGGGTGGCAGCGACATGTGTTTCCCAGCAGACCATCCGGCATGGCTGGGATTGCGGTACGGCAATGAGGAGGCAATCCAGACCGCCGACACCATCATCGTTCTGGACTGCGACGTTCCCTGGATTCCCACCCAGTGTAAACCACGATCAGACGCCAAGATCTTCCATATCGACGTCGACCCCCTCAAACAAGTGATGCCTCTCTTTTACATCAAGGCGCAGGCACGGTATCGAGCCGACGCCATGGCATCTGTGGATCAGATCCTGGCGGCACTGCAATCAGATGAAAGCCTAAGAGCCAAGTTGGCAGGCGGGGCCAGTGAGCAAAGGTGGACCGCATTGCAAACGTCGTACAGGGAGCGGATTGACGGTATTGCGTCGCGAGCGAGACCTCTTGACAATGGTGAGTTTGGGACCGGCCACCTGTGTTCCAAGTTGCGAGAGTTGTGCCCAGAAGACACAATCTGGGCCGTCGAGGCCGTCACCAACACCCTATTCGTCCACGACAACATTCAGCCAACAAAACCAGGACAGTGGATCAACTGCGGTGGTGGGGGGTTGGGGTGGTCTGGTGGTGGTGCTCTTGGAGTTAAGCTTGCGTCGGACCATGAGGCCAAACTTCAGGGCCACGAGCATGGCAAGTTTGTGGTGCAGATTGTCGGCGATGGGTCGTTTTTGTTCTCGGTTCCCGGCAGCGTATATTGGATTGCAAAGCGTTACAACATTCCCATTCTGACCATTGTGTTGAACAACAAGGGTAAGTGGACTGGACTCCTGGCTGCTTGTAGGCCAAGCCCTCCTCGGGCTCTGACTGACGTGAACGCACACATCTAGGCTGGAACGCGCCACGCAGGTCGTTATTGTTGGTCCATCCCGACGGCCTGGGCGCTGGTGCGACCAATGACGATATCCACATTGCGTTCAACCCTTCTCCGGACTATGCTGGCATTGCCAAAGCAGCAGCTGGAGGAGACGTTTTTGCTGAGAGGGTTGACCAAGCAGCCGACTTGGTGGATGTTCTAAAGAGGGCTATCCAGGCAGTGCAGAACGGGCAAACAGCTGTTGTCGACTGCAAAGTTGCCTCTGGATGCTGAGAATGATTTTAGCCATATGTAGACGTATAGGCGTGTAGGCGGGCCATTGAGTCGGCTACCACGATATGTGGAAGGAAGCGGGCAGTCGGAAATTTCAGGAAGGTTGCTACTGGAAAATTTTCGTTTCCTTGACAGATGTGACTTTTGCTTCGCTGTTTTTCTGACGTACAGGTGATGCAGGGTTCGAGAGTCCGAGGCAGCATCCTACAACGATTCCAGAGGTACCACGATTTGGCATGCCACCATGCCAAGACAGTACTCTGAGTGTCAGTGGGAGGGTTGCAGTGAAGTTGCATGTCGTCGGCCCAGTATTGTTCAATCTCAGGTCATGGCTTTCGTTGGACAAAGATGCATCCATCTGTGACGGTGCCACGATGAAGCACGATAGGCGGCGGGACTGGCGATGATGGGGAATTGGCGGCTGTCGCCACCGCGTTATATTACATGTCGTGTGATATTCGAGCTCGAATTGCCTGGAGGGGGCTGAGAGGAGTGATGTCGTTTGTTGCAGATCTGCTGGCAGGATGTCATAGGTGTGCTGTGATCGGTTGGTGGTAGATGATGGTTTGTATGGGTGAAGCTCCCATCGCGTTCCCGTGTCATCAGGCGAATTGCACGGCGCACAGACCAGGAGGGGTCCTTTTGTACCAACCAGCGACCCTGAAAATTGCCAACTGCTTTCACCCCACAATCCGCACCTCGAATCCTCCACCTGATTCCATTGTACCCGTCAACGGCAACGGCCCGGTCGCAGACGTCTTGTTCTCTTCCTCACTTCATCAGACGGAGGTGGAGGTTTTTCATATATATCAGCTTTCTGTAACATACCATTTACGCCCTGCTAGCTATCACCAGATACCTCTCCTAGGTGCGCCTGCTGCCGAATCTTCTCTTCACATCCGGGGCAGTTTCTCAGACCCATCCGCTGATTTGCCCCTCCCGCCGGGCACTGACCCACTATCTGCGGCAAACGAGATCTCTTGAATGCACGAGACCACGAGACCCTGAGCAACTTACCTACCTTGTCTGGACCCTGAATGCGAGATCATGAGGCTGGCTGCGGCGCTGTCTTTTCAAGTACGCAAAACCAGAAAGCCACCTTGGTGGTCTTGAACTGTTTTTATTCCACGCCGGCGCCTACAGACTCCGACGTGCTCTTTCTTGTGGCGCAAGGATATCGGGTACCAAGGCATAAGTAGCCTTTGCCCATCCAACCACCAACCAATTTGAACTCTTTGCCGTTTCTCGGCTTCCATCTAAAGCCACGAAGGGCTCGCAGGTCCCCTCGAAATGACAGACTGCGACAAATCGGCCGATGCCTCTTACGAAGCCGGCAGCGACACCAGTGCCGTCCCATCCCCGCCACCACCGCCTGTTCCCTCAGCCGACCCCAACTTGCGCTTCATCCCGAGCCCAGAAAGCGATGCCTCGCCTACTCTTGCCGCACAGGTCGACGATATCTACAAAATTGCGCCCGTCGCTGCTCTCAGAATGCTCAGCGCGGGCATCGAGGCGCTCGTGAATATGACGGGAGACATCCCGCCCACGCCACCACCAAGAAGCCCCACCATGCCGCACATGCGAGGTATGGAAGCAGAGAAGAAGAGTATCGTGCGGTCCAATTCAGACAAGAATTTGGCCCGTCTTGCTCAGCAACGAAGCGCAGCAAACTCTCCACGGCCCTCCCCCCGGCCCGGTCGGTCTCCGCTGCATTCAGGCGCGAAGGCCGCGTCCGTTCCCGTACCCGACGGTGCCCAATCCATCGACGGCGTCCAGCTGCGGGCGCCTTACCCGACACAGGCGTCAAGAGCAGAACAGCCCCTTGCTCCATATATTGTCGTTGGTGAGAACTCGCAGCCGCTCAATCTCCAACACAGCGCCATCACTCGCAAGTTTTACTCTCGCCTCCCGCCACCGATATCTATTACCGAGTATCTCCTCCGAATACACCGTTTTTGCCCCATGTCTACCGCCGTATATCTAGCCACATCCTTATACATACATCGTTTGGCCGTGCTGGAGCGAGCCATTGCCATAACTAAGAGAAATGCTCATCGTCTGTTGCTAGCGGGATTGAGAGTGGCCATGAAGGCCCTGGAGGACTTGAGCTACGCACACGGAAAAGTGGCAAAGGTCGGCGGTGTCAGTGAAGCAGAATTGGCGAGGCTGGAAATCAGCTTCTGCTTTCTTACGGGGTTCGAGTTGGTTGTGACCTATGAGTCGTTGAGCAAACATTGGGAGATGCTCAGAAGAGGAACCGACTGCTGGAATCTGCATGATGAGTTGATGGAGGAGGACATGACGGTTTTGCAATTTGCAAAGCCGCCAAAGCCGAGGAGGGAGCACGCTGTGTCAACTTGAACGTCTACAAAAGTAATCAATCGGATGAATTGTTTGTCAGCATCAATTTTAACCCACCTGCTCCGACACTGGGCTGGAGAGTCCTGTTTCCCTCGGTCAGGTTTTTCCTGACCGGTGAAAGATCATCCACTGTGTTTGAGTGGGTAGACATCACGGTGTCGCTTGTCCAGTGCAACAGAGCCAGCCAGGCCTGGTGGACGGCTATATCACCTTGACACCATGAGGTGAACTCTCCAGCGCTAGAGTGGCGCATCCTTTTCTGGAGCTCTCCCTCTTGCAACCCAACGGCCACCCTCGCTGCTGTTGACGATAGCGGATGTGGACGATTGCGGTATCTTTCAAGGAATAACCCTAAGTCCGACTATTAAGTGCGGCCTGCGAAGTACGATCAAGTCTTTTCTGTGACGACCATAACTGCGGGTGGGCCTGTACGGCAGGGGCACAGTCAGGAAAACCTGGTGCTGTTGTAGCCATGCGAAGTTCTCGACAGGACAGAGCACAGGCGAAATGACAGAAAAGGGCCATGCTGGAGGCGCGATGAACGCAATCATCGGAAGGGTGTCGAATATAAGAAGGGTTAACAGAAAAGTCTCGGCACTATGCAGTACATCTTCACTTCACTGTGTGTATGCTCAATCTAAGCATGTCTATATCGAGTGCCTTGAAACCTTGACTATTTCCTGTGAAACCACCAAGATGCGAGGAGCTTCGATCCCGAAATCTTCACACATGGTGTCTATTGCTGGGAAGTCATCAGGAAGCAACGCAACCGCATCCATTACCGACGTAGCCAAACCGCTGGCCAGGAGTGCCAGGGTTATAAGGTATTCGAGGTTGACATTCTTTGCCAAGTAACCGTTGTGCAATTGCCGAAACAAACCGTACCTGTTGTTCTTTGGCGGGGTAGCTGGGCTTCTAGCGCCGTGGATACTCTCGGCCACCCCACTGATTCAATAGACACCTGCCCCGCACTGATGGAGGGGCAGGACGGGAGCTCTGGCCTCCAGTCGCAAGGTCCTAGACAGACAGAGGTTGGGATCAAAGCAACCGTCCACGCCCTCTTCCACCGCATCCACATCTTCCATGCTACAGTCAGGCCTCCGAGTTCTGGCCTCCACGATAAGAAGTTCGAAAGCACGTCTCCCGTTCACGTTTCCGACACGCCGTTCCGACAACCGTGACATCGCCGTCGCGATGGACTACAATAAGATCCTGCAGGGGAAATACCCCGCGAAGCAGCACGCGAAGCGCGTGAGCGACTACATTCGCGACAAAATTCCGAACGCCACAGGTGTATTGTACCTCGAGGGCCGTGCCACCAAGATGATTGAAGACAACGATAGCGAGGAGCACTTCCGACAGCGTCGCTATTTCTACTACCTCACCGGATGCCCTCTTGCCGATTCATACGTCATCCATGACATGGACTCGTCCAAGACAACACTATTCATCCCACCCGTTGATCCCGAAAGCGTCATTTGGTCTGGTCTTCCTGTCTCCGCCGAGGAGGCCCTCAGCAACTGGGACGTGGACGAAGTCAAATACACAAACGAAATCAACGCAACACTTGCCCATGTCGGTGCCTCCAAAGCCAACGCCACGCTTTATGCCATTCCCAACCAAGTCTCCGAGAAGGTCACCTTTCTCGAGTTTGACCACAAAAACTTTTCCATTTTGAAGGAGGCCATTGAGGTCACCCGTGTGGTCAAGGACGAGTACGAGATTGCCATGATCGGCAAAGCCAACCAGATAAGCAGCAGGGCCCATGAGTTGGTCATGAAGAAGGTCAAGCACGTCAAGAATGAGCGCGAGCTCGAAGCCGTGTTCCTAGCCGAGTGCATCTCCAATGGGGCCCGTGATCAGGCATATCACAGCATCGTTGCCGCTGGTCGGGCTGCTGCGACGCTCCATTACGTTGCCAACAACGCCCCCTTGGATGGCAAACTGAACCTCTTGTTGGATGCCGGCGGCGAGTGGAACTGCTATGCTTCGGATATCACGAGAACATTTCCCATCAATGGCAAATTCACCACGGAGAGCAGGGCTATCTACGACATCGTCCTCAAAATGCAGCTTGAATGCATTGCTACACTGAAGGAAGGTGTTGTGTGGGATGATGTCCACACCTTGGCCCACAAGATTGCCATTGATGGGCTGTTGGAGCTTGGTATCTTGAAAGGTGACAAGGAGGCCATCCTGGAGAGCCGTACAAGTGTCGCCTTCTTCCCCCATGGGCTGGGACACTATCTCGGCATGGACACACACGATACTGGCGGCAATGCCAACTATGCCGACAAGGACACCATGTTCCGCTACCTCAGGGTGAGAGGGACTCTACCGGCCGGAAGTGTCATCACGGTTGAGCCGGGTCTTTACTTCTGTAACTTCATTATCGAACCCTTCCTCAATGACCCCAAGCACTCTCAGTACATTAACCGTCCGGTTCTGGACAGGTATTGGGATGTAGGTGGTGTACGGTATGTCGACCCCAATGCTCTTCCTTCGCAGCCATTGCTAACCTATGCCAGCATCGAGGACAATATCGTCATCACCAAGAGGGGGACACAAAATCTTACCACAGCCGTCAAGGATCCTGATGAAATGGAGAGACTGATTGCGTCCAGTTAGATGGCCTGAGCTAGTGCTGAGATAAAGGCGATGATTCTTTTCACATGTAGTCTAGCGCATCACTACTCAGTTCAGGATACACTTCTGGAATCCTGACTTGAAACAGTAGATTTCTGATACTTTTCTTCAGGAGACGAGCAACTTGTTGCTTATCGGGTTGATCTCATTCCCATCCCAGAGATGCCGGTTGTGGCACCGTAATAACCTCGCAGGCTACAAGACGCCACCATCTCCGCCCGGAGCCCTTTGATTGAAGTTTGTTTTGCCTTTGGGTTCAGTGGATGAAACCCAGCGCACAATATTTTGCCTCGGGTTTTTCGCCTGTGCTCTTCCATTTTCTTTCGTTTCTCTTTGCGTTGCCTCACACCTCGACATCTTGCAGAACACGTTACATCACGACATACCTGAAAAACATTCCTCCCCACGCAGGCCACCGACCTGAAACAATGCGTGCTCTCTCCCTTCTCACACTTATCACAGTGGCCCTGGCGGCCTCTGTCCCTAATTTTCGCGAGGACAGTGAACACATTTCGGGTTCTCAAAGGCGCCGGAGTGCGGAACCAGGCAACATTCAACTCCACAAGACGGTGATTCCCGACTGGGCAGACGACATCTACCTGACACCCAGCCCGAACGAACATCTCGATTCCGAGCGACTCCTCCTCCACCAGAGCAATGTCAAAGATATTTCCAAGGAGCGCGACAGCCCGTCCATCCGCGTCGACCCTGTCGAAGTGCACATGTACACCGAGACATATCCAAGCCCTGGTGTAGAGAGAAACGTGGTTTCCGCCCGTGGTACCGTGTTCGAGCCCGAACCTAACAGCCTCGGGGGCAGGGTTCCAACATGTACCCGAAAGGCTGCGAAGCTTCATACACAGCGAAAGTGGTCAATCGGCTACGATCATGACAACAAATACAACGGGATGCATTGCGGGCAATCGGTCCGTGTAGCGCTCAGGTCCTTCAAAAAGTGCAGGCCCACGACAGATTGGTATCGCCTTTCCCCATGCCTACCTTACTTCTTAGAAACACAAAGCTAACAAAAATGGGAAAATGCAGGACATGCGTGCGCAGTGGAGAGCAGGGACTAGGCGGTGTGACCATTGAGTTTCATACTCCGCGGGGGTGTGATGATCGGAGAATTCATCAAGCAATGAAGAAAGCTAGTGGGGGTCAGATTGATGTCTGGTGTCAACACAAATAGATCATCCAGCAGTCAAGTATGACAGTAGTTTTGCTGATAGGTCGAATAGGTGGTAGGAAATGAGTGACCCCAAGGAGTCACCCCTGCCTACGATTGGGAGGGAAAGCAACCAGAAAAGAGTATTGCCGATCGGATGTACCTTATGGAAAGCTCCTAACGAATATAATTTATCATGTATGGAAGAACCTATGTTGTTCTTGTGCAGTTAAACCTTGCAGGTATAACAGTGCACAATCAGACAGAAGAAACTCAGTGAAGAGGCCTTGCCATTTGCAAGATTGTAGCGCTTTCCCCTTTCAGATATAATTCGTTTTATAGAGAACTTGAGGCTAGATCCCTCGGTCTCAGCTTACACCCAAGATAACGGCCCGCTTTGTTCTAACCGGGGTCATTATATAAAGGCTGAACTTACGTTTTCGTCTTAGTCAAGGTATATGCTTTGTACAGAGAGGCTGGTTTACGGCAATACTCACAGACGATTCAGCTGCAGTGGTTTGTTTTCTAGTGCTCTAGGTTCTCGTAGATAATTCTTTGTCTTTCAGGACTCTATCACTTAAACTTTCAAATCTAATATCGGTTCCATCTATGCTCCTAGACATGTGCTAAGTACCTCTAACGTATATTATAAGCGAGCGACCAATATAAGCGAGCGACCACTTTTTCACAACCTTTATATTATTATCTTTAATTACTATACAACCATACTAAGAAGCAACCATAATTATATCCGAAATAGCTGAATCAGACAATTCTATAGCCTCCTGGTAAGTGCGCGCATTATGGCCAAGCTTGCCGCACACACCACAGCACTGAACCTTCGTACGAGCCCCCCCTGCACCACCGCCATCCGGCTATATTTCTTCCACTGCCTCCCCACCCACGGCCTTCTGGTCCAGTAGATCCTATACATCTTGCACAGTAAGTGATCCTCCGAGCCGTACACGTGTTTTTTTAGCTCTCCGGCGCTTACTTAGTGCCTCATTGGCCTTACGGAGCGAAGAGACCTCTGCCTGTAAGAGGGCCACTTAATATATTACAGCTATCGTACCCTTAGTAAATTAATTTATAGCACCTAATATTAAAGTCGGGGAACTATTTTAATGGTTAGTAATACGAGTTTTAATAAGCGTAAAGTGTAAGTTAGTTTTTCGGGGATTTTATAGTATTTAGAATACCTAAGGGAGTGCCGTGCCTGGCCTTAAGGATAGGGGTATTAGCGTATAAAGCTTTATATCTAGCTTAGAAAATACCCTCTCTAAATCGTATAGTATAAGGCTAGCACCTATAAAGCTACCCTATATATTTTTCTCCGTTATAAAGATAAATAAGGCCTCGCGGAAGGTATAAAGAAACTCGAGCTTATTTATATAGTTAATTGTTACGCCCTAAGTATAATAACCCCGTAAAGGAACCACTAGGTAGTTCCCGAGGTGCTGGGACACCTTAGCTAATTATTGGGCCAGGGATAGGAAGACCTATAAAGTCCCCATATAACTAATTAGGAGGTGCTTAGTCTAATTAGTAGCTAAGACCATTAAGCACACTAAATATATTAATTATAAAAAATTACTTAATTTACTTAGCCGCTAAAACCACTGAGTACACTAAGTAAGGTACAAAAATACTTTAGAAATATATATAGATAGCTTGTAACGAACCTCTATCTAAAACTTCTGAAAGGGATACTAATTAAAGGTAACTTCTAAATAATCCTAATTTAGTGCAGCTAAATAGTGTATAATAAGATATCTTAATATAAATACAAAATGCCGTGAATATAAACTTAAATTGTATATTACGGAACTATTTATTTACACTAACTAATTCCTCCGTATATATAGACCTCGTATTAAGCCCTAATTATAGTGATTATTCCGCTCGTTCCTAATAATTATAATAATCGCTATAATCCTCCGTAGCTCCCTATTAATTATATTACTGCGATTACTATATCTTCCTAATTTACTATTTATAATCGTATATCTTTATCCTAATTAATCCTACTAGCGATTAACTATACGTTTTATACCCCGCATAC